ATCCCCCCCTTTAATTTGTATTAAACAGGGAAAATAAAATTTTCCCCCTTTATGTATTATTAAAAGGGGAGATCAAAATCCCCCTTATTATTTACATGGGAGATAATACCCCCCTTTGGGTTTTAATACTTTAGACCCAAACCCCCCCTTTATCATACATGGAGACCCTATCCCCCCCCCCCCTTATGAATTTTACATGGAGACCCTTACCCCCCCTTTAGTTTATAAAATAAAAAAAATTTTCCCCCTTTTTGTTTTAAATACATGGAGATCATATCCCCCTTTGTATTAAACATGGAAAAACCCATAACCCCCCCTTTTGTATTAAAACATGGGGGAATAAATACCCCCCCTTTTTATTATACATGGAATCATATCCCCCCTTATGTATTATACAGGAAAACCATATCCCCCCCTTATGAAATTAAAAGGAGAAATACCCCCCCCCCTTTTTGTTTTAAATACATGGGATCAAAAACCGTTCAGCCTTTTTTCCCTTTCCAGAGACGAAGCATTTGGGGAGAGGAGACTGATCTTTTACAACAAATTATTTTTTTTAGCCCTGTATTCCCAGCAGCAGAAGCCACAAGTCAGCAACAGATCCCCTTGTCACACCAATACAATGTCACCAGAGCCTAGACTGTCAGTAACCTGATTGCTAGCCAGAACCATTGTCCTCAATGCCAACCACTGCCAAACGTGTCCCAAAAAAAAGTACACAAGTGAGGATGTCTTTCAAATTATGAGCATGACAGATGGGGTAGCAGTGAAGGAACTCTCAGAAAGACCAGCACCAGTAGAGGCAGTACATACTGATGATGTACCGACACTTCTCCAGCATGTAGTGGAGTATTATAGTATCAGCCACAAAAAATTAGGGCCAAGACATCTCCTGTGCTCAGAGACCCAGATCAGGGATTGGTGGATTGACCAACCTCTATATTAAACTCATCCACCAATGGATCAAAGGTTGTGCAACCCTTAAAGTCTGGGGAAGCCTGACCAGTACTGCAAAATAAGAACAAATGAAAACGCACCAACCTTGCGCATTACTTAGTGATAAAAGCGGTTTTAATAAAATAAGATGTATACTCACAAACGTAGCAAAAATTAAAAGCATATAATATCCAAGAATGAATCACAAGAGCCCAAGTAGCGTGCAAATCCCACCAAAAGGGAGACTCTATGTAAAGTCTGACGTGTTTCGAAGGGAGAGCTTTTATCGCTGAGGTAATGCGCAAGGTTGGTGCGCTTTCTTTTGTTATTTGCAATACAAAAAAATTAGGGTGCATAGAAGTGTCCCAGAGACTACCCCGTACTTCAGCAGTGCCTCTCATCCTCCCATTCTCAGTACAACTAGGTATTCAGGTAGAAACAGAAAAATGTATCCCTGTTCATTTTTTTTAATTGTCTTTCTTTAACATAGGGGCCCCCAGATGCTGCCCCCCCCCCCCTGTAAATGAGTAGGGGTACAAAGTACCCCTACTCATTCACCAAAAAGTGTAAAAAGTAAGTAAAAACAACAGATTTTGACAGGTCATTTAGGCGAAAAAAAACAAAATTGTCCCCCAAAGTAGACCCAAAGAAAAAAAAAAGCTCTGCACCAACGAAGGCTCCCACCATCTGACAGCTCTTAAATGTTGTTGATAAGTATTGTCAGGCTGCTTTTTTTGACAGTTCTAGCTTCCAGGACCTTTTCTGTGTACTCAGCAATGCAGCTGTGATTAATCAGAGCTGACATGCCGTGTACTGGGATAGGGAGGACTGGACATGCTACACATGCCCTGTGTACAAGTATGAACTTTTTTGTGAATGTGTAGCACACCCAAAGTCTGCAACTAGTTAAACATTTTAACAACCACATAACAGTATCGCACTTTTCGCATACCACAATAAAATGTGACTTCAAATAATATTCCTGGGGGGAGGAGCTTGGTGACGTCATGGCGCTCGTCAGCTGACCAAGTCCAGAGAGACATTACGAAGGAGAATACGAAGGGAGCTTCCCATTATTAGATGGTGTCAGCTGTATACAATATATGTGAATATCATTGGGTGCAATGGAGCACCTGGATCATGTATGCTGAGTGGAGGAGTTACAAGAAGGAGCTGAACCAACACGGAAGAAGGATTTCGGTAGATGTTACACCATCACTATATGTCCACCTAGAGGACACAAGTTATTTTTGACCATCTAAGTTGTGAGGTCAACAATTTCAGGTGAGGGCACAGCTGGTGTCACTGATGGTGGAGGTGCACTGTATATGAAGCAAGAAGATGAGGAATATTGATGGAAAAGATTTTTGTTTGGAAGGATTATGAATAAGGAATGATTGAACTATTTCACCAGATTTTGGCATATTATTTGTAGTATTTTTCACCAGTTCAGTGATATTGGGAATCTTATTTGAAGTCACATTTCATTGTGGTATGAGAAAAGCGTGGCACTGTTATTATGTGGTTGTTGTTATGTAGCACTTTTATATGAGTATGTGTAGGTGTGGGCGGATTTTTGTTTTTACAGTACAAACAATGGCCACTGCCCCCGTCTATAACTGGCCTTCACAGCCAGGAGCACATGGAAGGGCGACGCATGTCAAACAACACACATTTGCAAACACATGTGTAAGCTACAGAGCCTCGTCATGGCAGCACCCCGATATTCTGTAGTCCTAACTCTACAAATTTTGAGAGCCCCCATAGTAGAAGCACATGTATTTAATGGATAAACTGAGGGCAGGTGGACCTGGGGGAGCCCACCCTCTTTAAAGGTACAGGAGCGCACTGGACACCCAGTATGCAGCACAATGGCAGCTAAGGTGTCCAGCGGCCCCCTCACCAACAATTCAATGGTACAAAAAATGGCCACTGCCCCAGTCTATAACTGGCTGTTTGTTTTTACCCCTTTTTTCTATATTGAGTTGATATTCCAGTTTTATTTAACTGCTCGTGGGTTTATACAGTATTTATATTTAGTTAACCAGTTGTATGCCACCCTATAGAGTATCTCCAACAAGGGAGAGACCTGTGTATAAAGAACACAGATCTCTCCCCTGTCAGCTCCTGCACACTGCTTTGTATGGCTCTACATAGCAGCATGCTTACAGTGAAACACACACACAGCCACCATTGTAAAACAACAGACAGTTAACCGTTTGATCTCCCCAGATATTAACCCCTTCCTGCCCAGTGTCATTAGTACGGTGTCGGTGCTTTTTATTAGCACTGATCACTGTATTGGTGTCACTGGGGATGTCCGTGACACCAAGTCAGTTCCCCTCAGTGTTAGAATGCCCGCCACAGTCTCGCTATAAGTTGTCGATCGCCGCCATTACTAGTAGAAAAAAATCCCAGTATCTATACCGCCATTTGTAGATGCTATAACGTTCCCATATATTGGGATTTTTTTTTCTAGCAAAGACACGGAGCAGAACTCATTTTGACCTAAATTTATAATGAAATTTGATTTTTAAAATTTTTTACTGGAGACGTTTATTACAAAAAGTAAAAAATATTGGGGTTTTTTTTTCAAAATTGTTGGTCTTTTCTTATTTATAGCACAAAAAATAAAAAACACACACAGGCGATCCAATACCACCGAAAGAAATCTCCATTTGTGGGGAAAAAAAAGGACACAAATGTCATTTGGGTGCAGCATTGCATGACCGCGCAATTGTCCATTAAAGTAACACAGCGCCGTATCGCAAAAAATGACCCAGTCAGGAAGGGGGGTAAATCCTCAGGAGGGCGAGGGGTTTAAAACATTTTAGGTTTCAGAAAAATGTGTTAAATTAGTGGTTTCTAAGAGAGTGAGTTACACTAGGATGGATCTCCTTAATGGGCCCACAGACGGCAAAAGCCTGACTGGCCGACTTCTTTCCATTCCTTTCATCTGTTTTTATTTTGGTACAATGACCTGTGCAGAGGCAGCCAGAAAAGAACGTGGAGTTGATGGCGTGAGCAGAAAAAGCAATAAAAGCTGCATTGGGATATAATGAAACCTCCACCTGTACATAGTGTCATCCTGACCTTTGGTGACGTTATGGTTACTCCTTCTCCTTGTTTTACAGGTAAGACTATTATATCAGACATCATCGGGGAGACGTGGCTTCCTCATATGGAGAGGACAACTCTATCCTTTCAGATAACCGGATTCAGAACAAAGGAAATTCACATAAATTTATACCTGAAAAGACGAAATGACATGAAAAAACATCCCATCCTCTCATGGGTATCTGTGGACAGTCCATCGGGTGGGAGCAATAATACAACGTATGATACAACGTTACCGGTGGAAAAATGGAAGTGGAGATGACAGAAGCAGAAGATGGAAGCCACAAATGTGATTGCAGAATTTCTCTAACTCCAGACGCAGATACAGATGACGGAGCCGTCCTGACTGTGGAAGTCGCTCACGCTGCCCTGCGATGGCCCCTCTATAGATATCACATTCTGAATGTGATCAAAGGTGAGATCTGATTACCTGCACCTGAATAAAATGTGAGACATTTCTAGATGTACTGTATGAATGTGAAATCTATACTGTGTATATCCAGCATGAGACAGGAAACCCCCAGATATAGTCCAAGTTTGCTTGTCCTGCGATTTTATTCAGCAAGACAGCAAACAAATGCAGTGTTTAGGTGGGAGGGCTTTGTACAGCATGTCAGGACCATCAAACCAACAAAGGTTCTGCTTGTTCAAGCCGCATAAGTCTAGGTGCACATCTATGCGTTTTCCATAGCGTTTTGCAGAAATGCGCAGCAGTCCATTTAACATGATTTCCTATGGGACAGGTTCACATTTCCGCATTTTCACCTGGTGCGTTTTTTTGGAAAGGCTCAGGGACTTTTTAAACGCAAAATGTTGCATTTTCGGTTGTATAGACTTGAATGGAAATGCTGCAGAAAAGCATTTTTGATGCATTTTTGATGTGTTTTGCATTTTATTCTGCCCAGCAACAAGTTAAAAAAAGAAAAACGAACGCAAAAACTCATGTGGCAAAGCCGCAAAATGCACCGCAAAAAGCACTGCAGAAACGGATCAAATGTAAATCGCCTAGGTGTGAACCGCACCTTAAGCGGTATTAAACCCAAAAGCAAACATTTATTATATTGCAGCTTACCAATTCTTAGATGTCATGGCTGCATTTGTTTTCTCTTTTTTAGGCTTTCTTTCTTCTATTTTTCACCTGATGATCCAGCCAATAAGTCTGTTTTTTTTTCAACAGAACAAGCTGTCCTGGAGATATAGTGATTAAAAGGTTAAGACAAACCATTTGCCACTGATAGAGGTGCTTACACTGATCAGCTTTTATTTCTTCATGTAAAACCTTTAGGCTGGGTTCCCACTGCCACGACTTGGGATCCGACTTGTGAGGCCCCCATGTAGCATGACATGTGAAATCCCATGTTAGTCAATGAGAGCCGTCTTAATTAGCACTACTGAAGTCGCTCCGACATTAGAAAAGGTTCCTGCACTACTTTCATGGCGACTTCTATCCGACTTGTGCCCATAGACTTTAATGGAAGTCTCCTCCAAGTCTGGATCCTCATCTATATTGATGTGATTTGGATCCGACATTACAGGAAGATTACCCAGCATTCCCTGAAAGTTGCTTCAGAGTTGCTGTGTGCAGTCCACTTTTCTTTGGTATCAAGGGGGTGTTTGACAGAGACCACCTGACTAGTTACAGTAGTGGCTGAGGAGCAGCCCCGGCCTGGACATAAATTAGGCCTGAGCATTTTGGACTGAGCAGCACAAAGCCCAGGGACCCTTTCCTCAGAGTTTGGTGGTGGAACGCCAGAGCCTGGTGGCAAGAGCGACCTTTGCAACCCTGGTAGTTCCACTAGTGTCAGTAGGTTTTTTTATTTTTATAAATTTTTTACGATATTATATTTTATTTTTTTTTTACATTTTTTTGTAGGAAAAAATGAAGGAGGGAGAGCAGGAAAGAAAGAGGGAAAGAAGGAAGGAGGGAAACAGGAGACAGAGAGAGGAGAGAGAAAGGAAAGAAAAAGGAAGGAGGAAAGGAAGGAAGGAATGAAGGGAAAGGGGGGGAAGTATATAGGAGAGGGCAATGCAGACTGCAGGAGATGGAAGGAAAGAGGCAGGGGGGGAGTATATAGGAACCCAGAAATGCAGGTCCTCTGGATAGGAGAGGCGGCCGGGCGGAACATAGAGGAACAAGAAATGCACTCTCCTGTGCCAGCCCAGCTTCCTCCCTGTCCAAGCGGCCCCAGCCTCTGGGGCAAATGCCTGGGTGTGCCCTATGGCCAGTTCGGGCCTGCTGAGGAGTGGCCTCAGGATGTGACTGTATCCCAGGTACAGCTTTCTATAAGTATCAATATCTCTGAATACCTACAGGTTACAGTCTGTTTACCTGCATATTATTGTCCCGCATGAAATTAGCTTTGACATGGATATAAATATGGCATGTATCGGATGTCTACTTTACCCAGGAGGGACAAGGTGTTCCAGTGCTTCCTGATATCCTCTAATATATGAATGTTTGGGCTTAAAACACCACAAATTAACTGAGGGGGTAAATATGTCCTTGTCCTGGCTGTGCTGGTATTACTTCATGAGTTATGAAATATACTGAAGTTTTAGAGTCTTGATTCAGAAGCCGCGCCGCCTCCCAGGAAATAAAGCCCACTTAGAGGGCTGCCAGGAGGTGGCATTAATGGGTCAAAAGGCGTTTGGTTTTCTTTGTAAATGTCAGGGTTGCTGTAATAGGGAGTAAAGAAGAAGTTTGGGAAGGAAAAAAGGAGGTGGGAGAGGAAAGTAATGGAGGGAGGGGAGAGAGGGTTACGATATATATTAACATATAATTTTTACATATATTTGTAAATGCATTCCAAAAATGTAGATTTGCATTTTTAAAGACATAAAGTATATTTGAAATGTATTTTTAAAAATATTTTTTCATATATTTTGTAATAAAAAATGCATTTCAACATACAGTATGTAGATGTATGTATATATTTATTGAAATATATTGAATATGGCTGAAATTGTAGCATTTCAAATATATGTCAATATTTTTGGGTAGAATAGTTTTAAAATATATTTCAAATATATTTTTCTTCCATGTGGGGTATTCATACTGTCCTGACATTTGTTGGTATTTGTATCATCCTGATATTTAGGGGGGTGTTTGTACTGTTTTAAACATTTGGGGGGGGTACTGTCCTGACATTTGGGGGGGTATTTGTACTGTCCTGACATTTGGGAGGGGGGGGATTTGTACTGGCCTGACATTTGGGGGGTATTTGTACTGTCCTGACATTAGGGGGGGGGTATTTGTACTGTCCTGACATTTGGGAGGGGGGGGGATTTGTACTGTCCTGACATTTGGGGGGGTATTTGTACTGTCCTGACATTTGGGGGGGGGGGGTATTTGTATTGTCCTGACATTTGGGGAGGGTATTTATTTTGTCCTGACATTTGGGGGGTATTTGTATTGTCCTGACATTTGGGGGGGGGGGTATTTGTAATGTCCTGACATTTGGGGGGGGGGGGGTATTTGTATTGTCCTGACATTTGGGGGGGGGGTATTTGTATTGTCCTGACATTTAGGGGGGGGTTTGTACTGTCCTGACATTTGGAAATGGGGGGGGGGGGTATTTGTACTGTCCTGACATTTAGGGGGGATTTGTACTGTCCTGACATTTGGGGGGGGGGGGTTTTGTATTGTCCTGACATTTGGGGGGGGGGGGTATTTGTATTGTCCTGACATTTAGGGGGGATTTGTACTGTCCTGACATTTGGGGGGGTATTTGTACTGTCCTGACATTTGGGAGGGGGGATTTGTACTGTCCTGACATTTGGGGGGGGGTATTTGTACTGTCCTGACATTTGGGGGGGGGTATTTTGTACTGTCCTGACATTTGGGGGGGGGGGATTTGTACTGTCCTGACATTTGGGGGGGTATTTGTACTGTCCTGACATTTGGGGGGGGGGGGGGGTATTTGTATTGTCCTGACATTTGGGGGGGTATTTATACTGTCCTGACATTTGGGGGGGGGGGGGTATTTGTATTGTCCTGACATTTGGGGGGGGGGGGGTATTTGTATTGTCCTGACATTTAGGGGGGATTTGTACTGTCCTGACATTTGGGGGGGTATTTGTACTGTCCTGACATTTGGAAGGGGGGGGATTTGTACTGTCCTGACATTTGGGGGGGGGGGGGGATTTGTACTGTCCTGACATTTGGGGGGGGGGGATTTGTACTGTCCTGACATTTGGGGGGGGGTATTTGTATTGTCCTGACATTTGGGGGGGGGGGGTATTTGTATTGTCCTGACATTTGGGGGGGTATTTGTATTGTCCTGACATTTAGGGGGATTTGTACTGTCCTGGCATTTTTTGGCCTCAAGAAATGAGATCGGCTGTCAGGACATCAGGATTGATCGATTTTCAGATACATATCCCATAGTTTGTAGATTCTATAACTTTCCTGCAGACTACTAAAAAATAAGCACTGACTTGGGTTATGTTCACCAAAAAATGCAGCAGAATATAGTTTGGCCTATATACATAAAGCTTATTTATTTGCAAATTTTTTAATAGAAATGAAGAAAACCGCTTTAAACAAATCCATTTCTTATGGGTACAGTGTTGCATGACCGCACGATTGTCATTCAAAGCGTGAGAGTGCTGATAGCTGAAAATTGGCCGGGGCAGGAAGGGGGTAAAAGTGCCCGATATTGAAGTGGTTAACGAGAAAAAAAAAATTGCTCACTTATTACGAGGGGCATTCAAGTCAAACCAGGACTTTTCATTTTCCAGGTATTCTAGCGTGGAGGTCTTACATGTAGCAGTAAGTGGCAAGTGTGTCCTGTTACTGATAGGTGGCATAACATGTTGTGGGCCAGTCCAGAGAGCGTTAATCAAGATGGCGGACAACAGTGTTAGCGCGTGCATGGAACAGCGTGTGGTGATTCTTGTGAACGAAGGCGTAAAACCCGCGGAGACTTCAAGCACAGTACGATGATGAGACCCTCAGCCGTAGTAAGACATTTGAATGTTTCAAAGTTGGCCATCCGTCCATCAGTGACGATCCCGGGCTTGGTGGTTCCCAGCCCACAGCAGTCATTCCCGTGTACATTCAGCACGTGGAACGCCTGGTCCTGGATCATCGATCTTGAAATTGCACAAGACGAATCTTTCTGTGTGAACGATGAACATAATGATGAGGAATGAAGCCGGCTGTCCTAGGATGGGTCAGGCTGACAAATCTTTCTATGCCGAAGCTGTCAAGGCATTAGTTACACGCTGGGATAAATGTAGCAGGGGAGTATTTAAAAAAATAAATGCAGTTTCCACTCCATGAAATTTGTTCTTTTATTATATAAACTCAAAAGTCGCGGTTTGACTTGAACGCCCCTCGTTAGGTGAACAATATTGTACTATTGACAAGCAGAGGATAGCAGGCACCTTTAGGCCAATACAGAAAAAGAAATGGCGCAGTATTAAAAACACAAACGCCTCCATCCAGATTACCAGATCTATTTGTACCCTGTTCTGTTACAAGAGACTTTAACAAATAACACGTGTGTTCATTTTCAGGAGATAAACCCAGTTTATGGAGAAGATGGAACAAGCGTGTTATTAAATGAAATCTGTAATATTTATGGAACAAACCTGATCGGGATCTTCGATGTGCAACAAATCCCGTGCTGGAGTCCTGGACACATCATAGACTCTGAAGTTGGACTGTGAAAAACATTTTTTATTATTTTTGTGGTTTGGCGTTACTACCCATTAGCTGACACTCGGATTGCTACACACGGCCAAAAAACACTTCATTTAAGAACACCGGGCCTGTGTAGTGCGCTCTGTCCTTCTGCCCCATTGTTGGTCCTCATTATAACTCGCTGGCATTTGTAGCTATAATAGCTGCTGCTGTAAAAAAAAAAAAAAAATAACAATCTGTCCGACACAGTGGGGGGGGGGGGGGGGTTATCAACAAAGAGTGGTGCGGGCATAGAGTCTGTGGTACTCATCTACACCAGTGGTCTCCAACTGCGACCCAGGGGCCAGATGTGGCACTTTGATTGGTTTTATCTGACCCTTGAGGCACTATTTTACCCAGTGATACCAATAATGGGGAAGAATTTTCCCCATAGACACCAATGAAGGGGCACAATTTATTCCAATGACACGAATGATGGGGCACAATATCTCCCAATTACACCAATGATGATTACAATTCCTCCCACTGACACCATCAATCGGGTGCTCTTCCTCCCACTGACACCATCAATCAGGAGCTCTTTTCTTGACTTCCACCCTCCCACTGACACCAATGATGGGGCAGTATTCCTCCCACTGATACCAATGATGGGGCACTATTCCTCCCACTGACACCAATGATGGGGCACTATTCCTCCCACTGACACCAATGATGGGGCGCTATTTCCTCTCACTGACACCAATGATAGGACACACTCTTCCTCCCACTGATACCAATGATGGGGCACTATTCCTCCCACTGACACCAATGATGGGACACTATTTCTCCCACTGATACCAATGATGGGGCACTATTCCTCCCACTGACACCAAAGATGGGGCACTATTCCTCCCACTGATACCAATGATGGGGGCACTATTCCTCCCACTGACACCAAAGATGGGGCAATATTCCTCCCACTGACATCAGGACCATTTTCTACTCCCAATGGAAACAGTCCCCAGTCCGCCCCCCTAAACTCTGAAGGACAATAAATTGGCCCCTTGTTTAGAGAGTTTGCAGACCCCTGATCTAAACCAAAAAGATTGAGCAGATCCTGCTGCTTGCTCTGATCCCTCGCTGACCTGAAACAAGTCCATCTACTTTATTAATGTGTTTCATGCCTCTTCTGTCAGTTTCCTGTACTTGGTGAAAAGTATACCTTATGGCGCGGCTCCAAGCTGTGGATGGAAGGAAAAAGGTCACCCCACGGGAAGTGAGAAGAGGGGAGCATGAGTCCGAGCGATTCCAGTGTCAGCCAATACAAGTGAAGGGATGGACGCTACTCAATGACCCCAGGAGTTTACTGTTAGGGAATGGCTTCAGCTTCCATTTTGGCCACGCCCATCTGATGTGTTTCGGCCTGCCCACACCTGGGGCTTGGTCACAGAGGCTGTGACCAAGACCCCAGTGGGTGGGGCAAAATGCAGCAGAGGGTTGCGTGGTCAGAACCTGGCAGCTGAGGCCATTCCAGCAGCATAAGGACATCACATTGGACTCCTGGGTCATTGAGCAGCGTCCATCCCTTCACAGTTTTTCTTCGCTATTACAATATTGGGGAACGCTTTGTTATCCACTTTGTGATGATCTTACACCACATTTATACAATCCACTATACATCCTCATGGAGGGGGCTTTAATCGTGGGGCTGTATACATGAACTGCTGTGTTTGTGCTGATGAGAGCACTGCACAGTGTGCTTCTGGGGTAGAGACCAAGCTGTTAGTGACAGCTCCCAGGTCTTGTACTAATAAGGAATCGGGAGGTCTGGTTTCTGACCACCTGATCATTGTGATAGTCTCTGATTGGCTTTCACTGTACAGCCCGTTCCAGTGTTTTTCTCCTCTTGAAGCGAGAGAAAAGGATACATTGTATACGTACAAGATACATTACATAATCCATTGTACACATACAGGATATATTATATAACTATACATTGTAAACATAGTTACCAGTACATAGTTAGTCTGTCTGGCTGAAAAAAAGACAAAAGTCATCCAGTTCAAGCCCATGAAAAACAAAAAAAAGTTTCAAATAATCCTACACTCACAGAGATCCAGAGGAAGGCAAAAAAAAAACCAGCAAAGCACGATGATCCAATCTTGCTCCTGCAGGGAAAAAATTCCTTCCTGACCCCCCCTCCGAGAGGCAATCAGGATATTCCCTGGATCAACTTTCCCTATAAATGTTATATCCAGTTATATTCCTGTGTATCCAAGAAAGGATCCAGGACTTTCCTACAGCAATCCACTGAGCTGGCCACAACCAACTCTTGGGGAGTCTATTCCACATTCCACAGCTCTTACTGTGTTTGAAGAAAATTTCTTTCCGTGTTTGGTGTTTTTTTGATTACATTTCTTTTTCCTCCAGACAGTAAAGAGTTTGGGTGGGTTGGTAAAGAAGCGCCCCCTTGTCCTCTGTGATGACCTCAGGGGGATAACTGCACCGAGTTCACTATATGAACCACATGATGTATTTATACATGGAGAAATCATATCCCCCCTTATGTATTATACATGGAGATCATATCCCCACATTATGTATTATACATGGAGATTCATATCCCCCCTTAGATGTATTATATACATGAGATCAAGATGCATATTATACATATCCCCCCTTATGTATTATACATGGAGATCATATCCCCCCTTATGTAAATTATGCACATGGAGATCATATCCTAGATATCCCCCTTAATGTATTATACATGGAGAATCATATCCCCCCTTATGGATTATACATGGGATGATCATATCCATTATGTATTATACATGGATCCCCCCCTTATGTAATATACATGGAGATCATATCCCCCCTTATGTATTATACATGGTGATCATATCCCCCCATTTTCCCTCTTATGTATTATTACATGGAGATCATATCCCCCCCCCTTATGTATTATACATGGAGATTTCATATAACCCCCCCCCCCCCCTTATGTATTATACATGGAGATCATGATCCCCCCTTATGTATTATACATGGGAGATCATATCCCCTCCCCTTATGTATTATACATGTAGATCATATCCCCCTTAAGTATTATACATGGGAGATCATAATCCCATCCCCGCATCCCTTATACATGGAGATTCATATGCCCTTATGTATTATACATGGAGATCATAATCCCCCCTTATGTATTATAACATAGAGATCATATCCCCCCTTATGTCTAAATCTATGGGAGATGTATTCCTTTGTATACATGGAGATATCCTATATTCATGGTGATATATCCCCTTATGTATTATACATGGAGGATCATATCCCCCCTTATGTATTATACATGAGATCATATCCCCCCCCCCTTATTTATTATACATGGAGATCAGTATCCCCCCTTATGTACTTATACATGGAGATCATATCCCCCCTTATGTATTATACATGGTGATCATATCCCCCCTTAGGTTTTATACATGGAGATCATATCCCCCCCTTATGTGTTAATACATGGAGATGCATAATCCCCCCTTATGTATTATACACAAGGAGATCATAACCGCCTTATGTATTATACATGGAGATCAATATCCCCCATATGTATTTATACATGGTGATCTAAAATCCCCCCTTATCGTAATAATACAAGTGGAGCGCTCATATACCCCCCCTTAATGTATTATACATGGAGATCATATCCCCCTTCATGTATTAATACATGGAGATCATCATCCCCCATATGTATTATACATGGAGATCATAATCCCCCGCTTATGTTATTATACATGGAGATCACATATCCCCCTTTATGTATTATACATTGGAGATTCATATCCCCTTTATGTATTATACATAGGAGATCATACATCCCCCCACCTTATGTATTATACACATGGTGATCATAGTCCACCGGCCCTTAAAGAATAATACAATTGAGCATCATATCCCCCTTTAAGTATTATACACATGGTGATCATATCCCCCCTTATGTATATATACATGGAGATCATATACCCACTTAATGTATTCATACATGTGACGATACATATCCCCCCTTATGTATTAATACATTGGGAGGATATCATATCCCGCCTTTCTGATGTAATATATACAATGAGGATCATATACCCCCCCCCTTAATGTAATTTATACAATGGAGATCATATCCCCATCCCCCGAGCCCCCCCTTATGGTATTCATATCATGGAGATCATATCCCCCCTTATATAATTATCACATGGAGATCATATCCCCCCGCCTTATGTATTATACATGGAGATCATAATCCCCCCATTATGTATTATACATGGAGATCATATCCCACCCTTATGTAGTATTAGGATCAACATTGAGATCATAATCCCCCCTCTTATGTATTAATACAATGGAGATCATATCCCCCCCCTATGTATTATACACATGGAGATGCATATCCCCCTACCTTATGTAATATATAGCATGGAGATATCATATTCTATCCCCCCTTATTGTATTAATACATGGAGATCATATCTCCGCCCCTAGTATGTTTATAACATGGCGAGATCATATCCCCCCTTATGTTTTTATTACATGGAGATCGATAATCCCCAGCCATTAATGAATTATACATGGATATCATATCCCCCACCCGTTATGTATTATACATGGAGTGATCATATCCCCTCCATTATGTAATTTTATACATTGGAGAATCATATCCACCATCCTTATGTAAAATATACATGGAGATCATATCCCCACCTTATGTAGTATATACATCGGGCAGATCATATCCCCCCTTATGTATTATACATGGAGAACATACACCCCCTTAGGTATTATATACCATGGGAGAATCATATCCCCCCTTATGTATTAGTACATGGAGATCCGATATCCACGTTTTTATAAATGAAATACAATTAATATGTGCAAGAATTGTGATATAAG